TTCTCTGAAACTGGATTTAATTGTGTATTGCAGTACCCGTGGATGCCTCTATGCTTAAGAGACAATCGCACGGCTATACTCTACTGGAGCATCTTCGACTTGGAGATGCATATCGCATTGTTTTCGTCGTCAGAACTGTTCTATGCCGATCTGTGAGCAATAAGATAGTTCCATAACTCAATAAAACCTGGTTCAGCGGAGTTGCCACTATTTATGCTCCCGGCATTTGATCGTTCTTCTCGGCACAAATACTTTGTTTGTCTGTATCAAACATTAGCGGATTAGCGGGCATTAGCTATTTATTTCTCTTGGTTCTAAACGTAACCCATCGAAGCCCCACATTTCCTAATAATGGAAATGATATATTTTACTTGTGATATTTATTCTTGTCATACTCCTCTTTTTTGGTCCTAGTACCTTGCCTCTCTTTTTCATTTCAATGACGGCGCAGTTCAATCGATAGTGATATTTTAATCATGAGTAATTGAGCAGACATTAGTCACAGCAAAACTTTTAAGATCAATTATTTTAAAGCAGGCTTTACGATTTTTAGAAATGATTTTAGATTATTGACTTCTTTCGCTTGCTATGTTGTTTTACATTTTATCTTGATGCGTAGGAAATGTTCGACTTTCCCAGTGAGCCCCCGATATCGGACGCTGCAAAGAACCTGCTTCATAGCCTGATTTGCCCGGCGGAGCAGAGGTTTGGCAAGAATGGCTTAGACGACTTTCGAAAGCACCCGTTTTTCCATGATATCGATTGGGACAATATCCGTGACAGTGAGTTTCATTGAGCTGTAGCAAATGAATATTGTTTATGCTCGTGCTTGCTAATCGCTGATGGTTTCAGTGAATGCAGTTTACAAACCGGAGGTCAGTAGTCCGACGGACACTTCGAACTTCGACGTCGAAGACACCGACTTTACACCTTGTGATACGAAACCGCCGAATGTGTCCGCGCCATTCACAGGTCATCACCTTCCATTCATCGGCTTCACTTACACCCATGACAGGTGAGGAGATGGTCTTGTTTTTTTCAGTCTTTGTAGGGCTATGTTGTTGCACTCTTGATAGCGACAGTCTTGTTCAGACAGTGTGAGGTTTTTATCTCTTGACATACCTTATTATGCGCTCTTTTATGCTAATATGCTCTTTCATGCTACTACGAATTACATTCCCAAACCAACTATCACTACTCATAGTCGTGATGTAATTCTGGACTGGTTTGCCTTTTAGACATAAGATTATCAATCCCTGTTTTTCGGTATTCCTCATATCCTTGTTTCACAGTTCATGCAATCCTTCACAGCTACCTTCTTTGCTAGGAAGCATTCAGGGTTCCCTACTTCATCGTGACTTTTAAGGTTTTTCTTGGATCGTCTTTCGCCCTGCGAAACACGACCGCCGAAATTGGCTGTAAGGAAAAACGGAAAGTCTGTTATCATTGAGATGTCGATTTCCTTAACACTTTGATGATTAGAGGCTACTTATGGCGCTCTTCGTTTTCATGAAGTGAATGGTTGAGCGTTGACAGGAGTGTCTTGTTTTAAAGGATGAGTCTGCAACAGTTATGTCGCCAGCGTGGTACGTAGTTTTCTGTGTTCTTCCTACAAAGTCGTACTCATTTATTTTCAACGTCGAAAAAAAAGAAGCTATGGATCTTACCTCTACTCGATGCCGTGACCACTTGAGTCTCAGTCCGATGCTTTACCGACTGACCAACCGCAGATTTTTGGATACTATGAAAATATAGTTGAGTCAAAACGAGGCACTACATACCGACAACTCTCTAAGTATTCAGACGAACGGACAATGCGCAGACTGCCATCGAAGCAGGGGACCGCATGCGAAGATCTAGAACGATGGATATGAATCTCGAATGCTACTTGATTTTTATGGATTTCAAAATTAAAGCTTTGATTCTGTGTTACTCGCTTCGTTATTAAATACACATCATTGTCCATGTCTGTTTCTCCTTTCGTTTCTTGGAGGCAGACGCCTCAAGCACTGCTTCCAACGTTCTCAACCCTGTACCAGAGTCTGAGCATCGTCACAATGCAGACGATGGAGCAGACTCCTATATATTTGCACTAGTTTAATCTTCGCCGTCCCTCGGGCCTTCTATCAGTCAACTGGGCAAGAAATAGTTGTTTTGCCTTCCTTTCTTGAAGGTATTCGCGTCACATGCCCAAACCATCGCAGCTATGACTTCTCAGTCTGGAGAAGCAGAGGCCGTACACCAAGGCTCTCCCAAACGTCTGTACTCCGGACCATGTCAAGATGCGTAAGGTCAGCGACTCGTCTAAGAGAGCCTATTTCAGTCGCTTTTTCAGTCATGGTCAACGACTCATGACCGAAGGTAAGCTTGGGGGATGAAGATCGTTTAGTCTCAGACTCAGGTCTGCTTTAATCAGTGGTTCGAACCAGTTCACGGAGAACGCCTATCCGCCGGTCGATACTTTCCTCAAATTTTTCGTTACCAGTAAACACGACCCCTAGATACTTGAACCTTTCCACCTCCTCGACTGTTTCTCCGTTTATCTGAAGAGAGTAGCGGAAAGGAGTACTAGAAAGCACCAGGCTTTTCGTTTTAGACACGCTTGGCTGCAGACCTTTCAATAGAGCACTGTAGCTCTGTTTCAGAAGATTCCAGTAAAACAAGGTAGTCTGCAAGCAGCAACCTTCTCGTTTCCACATCTCCTACACCGATGCATTCATAACCCTGGCTGCGCTTGACTTTCTCTCCATGTACAGCACAAACAGGAGAGGGATAGAATGCAACCTTGGCGGAGACCAGTGCCAACGTTGAAGGTATCCGACTTGACGCCATTCACTCTGAGTACCTGCTAGTAGAATGCAGTGATTGAATGGTCCGTATGTTTGCATACATGCCCACAGACTGTTGCGCAGGATCCGATCATAGGCTTTCTGTAGGTCAACAGCGCAATATACACCGTATGGGTGAACTCCAACGATCTTTTATCAGTTTGGCGTAGGGCGAATATATCGTCAGATGTGCTTTTGCCGGGCCAAACGCCACACTGCTCTTCTTGTATCTTGGAGTCAATTATTCCACGTAGACTTTTCCCGGAATGCTCAGTAAACTAGGGCCCCGATAAATGGAGCGCTCCTTGTGGTTTCTTTTTTGAACAGGTGTACGACAACCCTCGTTCTCCAGTCCGCTGGTGTCTTTAATGTAGCTATTGCAGTTTGACAGACACTTGTAAGGCAGAAGATGCCTTGACCGCTTATTGCTTTGAGCATTTCATAGCGGATTTTACCAGTTCCAATAGCCTTTCCACTTTTCAAGCTTTTCTCAGCTTGAATAATTTCCTCTACAGAAATATCATTTACGTACTGCTTTACAGGCGATTCTTCCTGCGGTTGCTGGGGTTCAAGGGTTCCTCGAGGTACTCCCTCCATCGCCGAAGGAAGTCCTCATTCTCAGTAGAAAGGTGTCCAGGCTTGTCTATCAGAACTCTTACATTGCGCTTCTTTTCATATCGGAGGTAGTGGAGGTGTGCCAGAATACCCTGTTTGCCGTCTGGAAATTCGACTCCTTTATCTCATCGAACTTCTCCCAGGAATCTGCTTTTGCTTTCGCAACTGCTTTCGCCACCGCCTTGCGTGCCTCAACATATAACACGCGAGTAGATGGCTCTGTTTACAAGCCATTTTTTGAATGCTGCTTTCTTCTCTTTAACTGTCAATTGTAACTGTCGTGTGTTCACTAAGAAGATCTTTTCTGACCTCCAGGAGGCAGGCCAACCCATTTAAATCCACAGAATTCAGCGGCAATCTCGAGTATGCCGCTCTTAAAGAGCTGCCACTCGGTTTCAACATCAGTTGTCATCACTGGGATCTGTTTGAACCGCCGTGCGATAGTTGTTTGCAGATCTCGCTCTCGTGTCCACCGAAGTCAGTGTTTCCCATTTGATTCTCTGGTTGCTTCTGCCACCAGATCTTCGTATGGCACTCCATTTCTTACAGAGCAGGGTGCCAACAGAAAGGCGGTGATCGGTTGATAGCACTGGGTCTCCCTTAACGCGAACAAACGAACAACCACTTGAGCTCATAAGTCAGACAATACGATAATCAAATCGATCATCGACATCTGTGCATGAGTTTCTCACTACCAGTTATACTGATGCACCCTTGATGCTCGAAGAAGGTGTTCATAATGGACGGTCCGTTGTTTGCACTGACCGCAGTAACTTCATGCCGTTATTGTAGGCGTCACTGCTGTCGTTATTTTCAATCACGCCTTTCCATTTTTCAGTGTCTTATCCGACATGTGCATTAAATTCGCCCATTAGAATGAGAGACTCGGTAGTCCGCACTTTGTACAGAGCAGACTCCACTTCCTCAACGATGTAGTCATGTTCTCCTTCCAAATTGGGCGCATAGACCTGTACCAAGGTCATCGCTTTAGCTTATCGTATCTTCAGTCGGAGGATTACCACCCTTCTGCTGACAGGCTTCCATTCAATAATTCTATCCGCGAGGTTGAATTCTACCAGAACACCAACACCGGCTTTACTGCGAGTCGTGGTATCGACGCCTGAGTAGAATAGCTTCCATCCGTTGAAGTTCAGGAGTCCAGAGCCTTGGCGTTTCGTTGGCGAGAGTCCAACAGTGTCCAGTTGGTACTTTATGGCCTCATCAACCCACTTTTGCTCTTCCCCTCCGAGTAAGGATATATTCCAATTTACGACTTTAAGGTCCCAATGGTGGTGTAGTTCTCATGGAGCTTTTTCTGACGTGCTGTAATGGCATCGCGCTGTCTGTGTCCTCTGTTCAGAACTGGTAGAGACTCCGTTGCAGAGTAGAGACGTTGTATCTTCGTCGTCGTTCCATCGGTCTTCGTCAGCCATTGTTGTGGTGCTACGCCCCCGGCTCTCAGAGAGCGATGAGCAGATTCTGGTCGCTGACTTTTCGCAGTCTGCCTCAGTTCCCGAACTGCCTGCGCGGCTCTTGGTAACCCGGGCGGCGACCTAGCCGGTATAATTTTCGATGACGGCAATACTATGAATGGCAGGTGGCTAAGTTTCACGGAGACTTCGCCACCGTCTCCAGCCCTCCTCCTTTCTCATCCGGGCTTGGGATCGGCAACGGCGGAGTTAATTGGACATGTTGATTAATAATTTATTAATAATTAATTACGTTTTCAAGGTATGCTGAGGTTTGTTCATTTCAAAATTTCAAACAAGTCAGAATTGCGTAATATGTATTATTCTTATTACGGACAGCGCTGAAACAAATGAAAGAACAAAAACGAGAATTACAGTAATAAAAAGCAAAAATTCGCTTCATTGGCGCTCTCAATGTCGCCATCTACAT